AAAATTTAATAATCGTCTGCAAAATATGCTAGTTTTTTCGTATTGCTTAATATTATAGAAGGCCGCCAATGACTGAGGCAATTATACCTTATATTAAAGAAAAAAAAATATTTTTCTTGACAAAAAAAAATAAAACATTTTGTTTATAATTTTCTCTTTTACAAATTATTGATCGAAAAATTAAGTAAAATAGTTTTTATGCAAAAATATGTAAACATTTAAATAGAAAAATATTTGTTCTTCTAAATCGTTGATTAGAAACGTTGTTAACCTCACTAAAGTAATTTATTAATTATTAGACTAACTATTTGATTTCAGCACATGCACAAAATAACAATATTCCTGGTAGCACAATATAAAAATCTTAATTGTAAGTTTCGTGTTAAAATGATACTGGTCCAAATTTTCTACTATTTATAATAAATAATATAACCTTAAATTATCATTCAATAAAAATGATAGTAAGTTGAAAGTAATCGAAAGACGGTCGTAGGGTTCTTGTAGGGTTCTCACTATTGGGTACTATGAATCATTTTTATAAACCAATCAAGCGTCACAAGAAACCTTTGAGCCTAATCAGAAATCCGCATTTTTCCACATCAGAATCATACAAGTAATAGGGAAATATTACAAGGCCCTTACGATTTCCCTATTTAAGTTTCTCCTCGGGGGTCGAAGTATACATGCATAAGTATAGTTGATTTATAAGCCTAAATATAATTAAAAACATAAACTCCATTAAATTTACTGAAAAAACCTATGTTCAATTTGAGTTGGTAAGAATATTATAAGTATAGATTCGGCTCGTGGATTGGACATGACACGATAATTGCCGAAAAAGGTACAAATGGGGAAATCGTAATTGGATAAAAGACCGATCGCGTACTTTTAAATTCGAATCTCGAACACATTGTAAAATAATATTACCTACCAACCCCTATTATTTCAGACATTACAAGTATATTGAATTTCATACTTAAATTTCGATAGTTGTTTCGACTTTGAGTATACGTTTTAATGCGAAAACACATTTATTCACAGTTGGGTGAGCTACAGTGAATAGTATAAGGCAACTAAAATTAGGTTCGAAACGCGTAAATGCAAGTTGCCGTACGCGACACGTTTTCACACAAATAAGAATGGAAAAGCAAGAACGTGCGACAAGATAGCAACTGTGTACATTCACAGTAGGTTTACCAAAGCCAGGATTTGCTTGCAGTTGTAGCAGACACATCGTGACGCGACTAACAATATAAAGGCTGTCCGTAATAAAGCAAAATTCAGTACCTGAGAGAGGCCATGTACTCTCTTGATGCGACTCTCTTGTCGTATAGTGTCGGCTTTGACGCCGCGTCGCGTCGATAGTATATAATCGACCTTAACTAAATTAACCATGCAAATTTATTATTCTCCTCACGTCGAAGGCACGAGATTTTTTCTCACATTCAAACATACATTTTCATTAAGCCTTTTTCAATTTATTATATGTATATTCATTTCTTTTATCTGTAAAATTTTTGAAAGTCATCAATTCATAAAATTGTAATAGTTTTGTACACTGAGAAAAATATGCTATTGAATCAATAGCATTTCTGCCAAAGTTATAAAAATTATTGATTCAAAAGCATCTGCTATAGAATCTATAAAATATTTTACAAATTTTATAGCATATACTTTTGAATCAATAATTTTTATACCTTTGGCAGAAATGATATTGATTCAATAGCATATTTTTCTCAGTGTAGACAATACGTGTAATGTTATTTTTTTTAACATCACAAAAGTACTAAAACCGAACAACTTGTGATTGAAAAAAAATTTTAGTTGATTGTAATTAATATTAATTTTTGGGATTGACCTATATGGAATTTGGAAGTTTCCCAGTGCTTTAAGTCTGCTCATATTAAGAACAGTTTTCTTTGTAGTATAGAAATAATGTTGTGGTTGGTGTGGTCCTCATAGCATTCGTGATCCCTCTAAAAACCATTTCCTAGAACTGATCTATTTTCCCTTTTATCGTGATGAGTTGGGTTCTGATCCACCAAATATCTCCCGCATAAAGAAATCTGGGTTTTAACCCTCAAGTTCCCCTCCTGCAAACCCGGAAAGTAGTACAGTTGATATTCGAAGTGCTTGTTACCTCCAGATACTTAAGCCCCTGTTTTATAGCATAACATTTCTTGGCTGTCTCTCAGATTGTAATTAAATAACTAATTTCTCCTCAATCCCTCTCCAAGTAGTCAACTTAGAGGTACAATCAGTGCTTCTAGGATTAATTACGATCTTCTGTTTAGTTTAGTTTAGTTTATTCTTTATTGTTGTACTGTTTCAATGCGAAAGTTCTTTTTTAAGAATTTTGTGATTGATGCTTTACAGAAAAACAATTTTGAGATTTTGAATTTGATTTTAATTTTTATTAAAAAAATATGTACGAAAAATAAAATTTCTTTGCCTGTGTTAGATACATTTACCTTACTAGAAAAAAGGTAATTCCTGACCATACACGTGGAGAAAATATTGAGCACCTGACGCGCATATTCGATCAATCATGTCCATATACGAAAATATGCGACGAAAGAATGCGCTAACCTCGATAATAGCTTCCATTAATTACCTATTATAAGAGAATAAATACGAAATTTTAAATAGTTTTCTACGCAGTTTTTTAAAATATTGAAATAATATTTTTAAAAAAGTTGTAAAATAAATTTTATTCCGATATTTGTTATCTTGTCAGTCTCGACATTTGCATATTGAATAAATCTTATATGATTTGCAATTTTCTCTTCGCATTCGATTGGAAAAAGTAAGTGGAAGAAGTGTCACATAAAATATGCAATTTTGCCAGAATTGAATTTTCAGGTCTTGGAAAAAAATTAAATTTTGCCAGTTTGTATAATTTGATACCGTAACGATTCCAAAGAAATTTGCTCAAAATATTTATCATAATCCTACTTTGGTGGACAAGTATATATACAGGGTGTTCCAAAAGTATGGAAACTTGCAAATATCTCGAAAAGAACGCATTTTCGTGAAAAATATTCGAAACGAAAGTTGTTCCCAAAAAAAGATCTACATGTTTGAAGCCAAAAAATTGGTCCCGGGATCCAACAGTGAAAAAGAAGTATTATGAAAATGCGTACTTTTCGAGATATTTGCAAGTTTCCATACTTTTGGAACACCCTGTATATCTTTTTATAGACATTATTAAGTACTTTTGTTTTTTACTGAAATATTCAGATTTCCTGTGACACTGCACCTTAATCCCAGTGATGCATCACCCTCTGGAAAAGAAAGTGATAAAGTTCTCTAAGAAGCACTCTCTTTTTAAAATCTGTCGTCCATTCTCCGTTGGCTTACCGATTGCACATATCTCTGTCCTATAGACATTTTGACACTTACATCCACGAACGTTATTGACATCTTCCTATAGTACGACTGGACATACAAATATTGCTCTTAGAAATGATTTTCAAAATTTTTAATTTTCCAGATAAAAATTGTTTATAGTCGGCATAAGTATTTCGATACTTTCGGTCATCTACTTGTTAAATTTACTTAGTAAAATTTATTCCATTATTATTACAGATACATATGTCAATACTTGAAGATCGTGAATCACCAAGATTTTTCGATAATTAAAAAGATAAGATTAAGATATGTTTACTACATTATAAGAAACTCGATTTTATTTTTGCTTTTTTTATTCTTCTTCGAGGAAGAAATAACTTGAGATTATTTATGAATTTACCATGCTGCAAAACTCGTAGGATATTGGAAACGCAATAACGGTTCTGGAACGTAATAATAATGGAATGCAATGTACGTGGCATACTAATATCGCAATTGCTCGTAAATATCCAACACTGTACAAAAATTCCCATCTCTAGTTTTTTGCAAGTATCTCAATGCTAACATTTTGTTCCTGTGAATTTTTATGCAAAGCAACCGACAGTACATATACTGATAAAAATTATTCGTGTTTCGTTCTAGAGATACAGATATAGTTATATAGACGGACATCTGTCAACCAGCACTCATTTTACATGTTTATACCTACATATAAATTTAACGCATTTATTATTTATAGAAAATTGCATCAGAATCTAATGTATAACTTACTGTATACATTTCTAAACAATTATTTATTTTGAAGATTTTTTTTCAACTTTTCAACAAATATATTGTTAATTTTTGGGATAGAAATCAATTACAGAGATGTAGTTTTCGTTTTCCAATTTACAGATAAATAAAATAACCACTTATAAAATTGTTACATTGAGTAAATTTTTAAAATGCAGATTAATTTCAAGAACATTTCTAAGAATGTACTGCGATAATAGATCGTTTATTACATGGTTGTTAGCTCACTCAAATCAACTTGAAGCGAATATGCCTAAAGCTAAATTCTGTAGAAAATCTGTTGAATGTTGTGTCTGAGAACCTGAAGGTTCCACGACATAAATTACATCTACACAGCACTTTGAGTGACTCTCTTACTTAATTCGATTCCATGTAAAAGCCTTGATAGGACGAGTACTTATAATTTACCTAAAAGCCTGTGCATTTTACTATATGGCTACTATAATATTTTTAAGCTTAATTTCTATGTTTTATTTTTGTACATAAAGCTGAATGTTATATTTCTTTTTGCAGAAAATTTGTTTTATTAATTAAATTACGTGTCAAACGAAAGAATGAAATGACGTTGTCAAGTCTACATTTCGCTTTTACTTCTTTTTGCTGATACTTCGATCGATCTTAAACTGTTCAGTGCTTGGCTCTAAGTTCCACCCTTAAGGGAGTTAATTTTATCTAATGTTAACTCTCTTTCGGAGTTGATTTTTAACTCAGAAAATTATACTTCCGACTCCGATTGCCATTAACTCTCAAAACTTTTACAGTGTAATATAACTTTATAATAGGTACAAGTGTAGAAAAAAAATTAAAGGACTTAAACATCATCAATTAAATAATTCATGTTTTTTTTATTGTTTCAGGCTGAAATATGGAGCGTCTTTATAGCCATTTTGAGAAAAAGTGTCCGCAACTTACAAGCATGTACAGATGTCAATCTTATCGAACATGTTTTGCATCGATTGTCACGAGCAGAAACTGTTGTTGCAGGTAAATTTATAAAAACTATATGCATTTCACTACATTTTTAATTCAATCATTTAAACAGTAAATTATGCAATTATAAATTTATCAAACTGCTGAAACTCTTTGAAATAGATTTAATGATCGACATGTTGGGAGTTCTGGCGAATTACAGCATCACGGTAAAAGAACTAAAACTCCTTTTTGGCGCAATGAAAGCAGTCAAAGGAAAGTGGGTAAGTGTGAGTTATGTACTACTGCGAATACTGCGATAGGTCTTTTTCAAGACATTATCTTTCTTTTTAAATCTTTCAATGCACCAAGTTCATATTTTAACCAGATAAATATTTCAGTGACCTAAAAATTTTTGAGCAATTTTTTCTTTATTTCTTTCTTTCTTTCTAAAATGTATTGAATTAAATATTAAGATGAAAAGTCTTTTTGTATTTTATAAAAAAAAGTATTTTCTTTTCATTGTAGCCACGACATTCGCCGAAATTATTGAATGTCCTTCGACAAATGCCCCAGAGGAATGGACCTGATGTTTTTTTCAGTTTTCCAGGGAGACAAGGATCGGTGAGATTAATTTGAGTAATTTTAGGAACAGAGAGAGAGAGAGAGAGAGAGAGAGATTTTTTACAAGTCTAGTTTGCTGTAGTTTAAAAAGAATGGGAGCGCACCACTTTCAAAGTAACTCATCAAGTTTGGTCATTAACGTTCTTTTTATCCTTATAGAATTTTTCTTATTTTCACGTCCCGTAAAAAAAGAATTTCATTGCGGTTGGAAGCTTCCCATTGAGTATAGAAATACTCTCCATTTGAAATTGACGTTGGTCCTTTACCAAGTTTGAATCCCATCAAAGCCAAGAAAGCTTGTCAATTCCTAACAACTACAAATTCCTATAAATTTCATTCCCCTCCAAACTTTATTAAGATATATTCCACTCATGGTCATATAATTGGTTTAAATTTTACGACAAACTACAAAACTATCAAAAATAGATTCGTTTTTCGATTCTTTTAAATACATTACTTTTCAAACTGTTCAGTCGGGTCAGTGCTTGGCTCTAAGAATCAAAGGGAGTTAATTTTATTGATTAAAATTTAGACTTTTTTTAGAAATAAGATTGTTAAAAATATTAGGTATAATGAACAATTTTCGTCTTCTTCATTAGGCGATCGTTTTACCACCACTCGCAAAATGGCCGTATGAAAGCGGATTTACTTTTACGACATGGTTCAGATTGGATCCCATCAACTCTGTTAATATTGAACGAGAAAAGCCATATCTATACTGGTAAGCATGCAACTGCTGCACCTACACATTTCAGATTAAATGTAACATCACAACATGATTTTTCTTTTTCAAATTCTATAAATTGATACACAAAATTGAATTTTTTTTATGTTTAATCCTCTGTCGTTGCTGACTTTTCCCACTATAGAATGTAATTCCCATAATCCCCACCATACATCCAATCTGACGACAACAGTCGTTAGCAACGGCAGAGGGTTAATTGATCAATTTGATTGAAGGCAGTTGGGGATGTAAAATTAAAATGCAACAAGAAACTATTTTAATCTATTTTAATTAATTACATAATCGATGAAAATTTTAATTAAAAAAAGATGAATAATATTTGTTATTTTCAGTTTCAAGACAAGCAAGGGAATCGGCTATTCTGCACATTTTGTTGGCAATTGCCTCGTTTTGACGTCTATGAAAATGAAGGGCAAAGGATTGCAACACTGCGTCAAATATGAATTTCAACCGCGAAAGGTACGTTTCTTATTTACACAAATATATTCAGGTTTATACATATATGAGGGCGTTTTAAATTAAGCCGAATGTTTGTATTTTAACTCCTACAGGAAATTAAAAATTCTATCAGAGAGAACATTTACTACTGCAACTTTCAGTCATTATATCTTTTATCTTACAAAATTCAATTCTTTTATAATCTCATTGTATTGGATATAAAAAAAGTTATTGAATTCAAAAAACTTGCTTTAAATTTGAAAAGAAAATTCAATTTATTTCAAACTCAGTTATTATTGGTGGTCATTATTCAGAATCTAAAATTTTGCGTCATTATGAAAAGTTGCAAAAGTTATTTTATTCTTTAGTCAATCGATTAATCGAACCAAAGAAAATTGACATTCCTGAGAAACAGAAGTTTGAATTAGTTGAAATTTCAGTGATGCCTCCTCTCAAAATATATATTGTTTTTGTTGATTGAATCTCATTTTTCTTTTGGAATTTAATTTTATTGTTTTGTTTCAGTGGTACATGATTGCGGTGGTGTATATATACAATAGGTGGACAAAGAGCGAAATCAAGTGCTTAGTTAATGGTCAGTTAGCTTCTAGTACAGAAATGACGTGGTTCGTGTCGACAAATGATGTAAGTTTTTTATGAGGAGAAAATGAAGAAAAATGAGGTTTCATGAATGTCTTTTAAAATGTTATTTTTCATTGCATAGCCTTTTGATAAATGTTACATCGGCGCTACACCAGAACTGGACGAGGAGCGTGTTTTCTGTGGCCAGATGAGTGCCATTTATCTTTTTAGTGAAGCTCTAACGACGCATCAAATTTGTGCAATGCACAGGCTAGGACCGGGTTACAAGGTACGAAATTCTCCATAACACTCTTTTAAATGAAAACTTTTTTTAAATAATGATAAAAATGATAAAAAAAAGTGTCCTTTTATTTTTGACACAGAGTCAGTTTCGCTTTGACAACGAATGCTACCTGAATCTGCCTGACAATCACAAAAGGGTGAGTCAAGAGCTGGAGCTCTCGAGCATGAAGGACCAAAGTATGCGACCCGTAAGCATTTTGATTTCGTTTTCTTTTTATTTCATCACATTAACTTGCACTCCTAATCAGTCTGTTTATGCCATCACGTACTTACAAGGTGCCAACCTGTCTGGAACTAAATCTTGTGGAACATTACGTGCAGGACATCCTCAACATTATTTTTACATGTGTAAATTGTCATTCATGCTTATCAAACACATTAAATTTTTAAATCAGTTTTTAGAACTACAACACACTTTAATAACAAATTAAAGAATACATTTTTTAAAAAGAGTATAAATAATTAAACAATAAATAAAATTATAGTTTGTGATATTGCAGGGTTATTCCAAAAATGGAAGTTGGTATGTGGCCACCGATTTATGCGCTCACCTCGTCTTTCAATTGAATTAGTGGAAATCAACAAGTTAACATCTCATCAATTAAAATGTACATTTTAAAACATTTTTAAGAACTTAAAAAAAAGAATTCAAGTCCTTAATTATCGTAAGCACAAAATGTTTCAGAAAAAAATTGCTTCAAATTAGAGTTCTTGAGATGAATAGCTTTCTTTATTGAATAAATGAAGAGCAAGACTCCTCAATACGAGGAATAGTAAAACTTTATTGCTCAAATAAACTCCGCGCTAAGCTGCGAATGCCTCACTCACGTATAACGTTTAAAACATACTTTCTTTACAATAAAATAATTATGTACAAGATTTTTCTATATACATATATGAGATAGAATTCTGAGTAATGTAAAAACTAAAAAGTAATGAATGGACAAAAATGAAATAAAAAACATTCATAAACTTTTTTACAAATTAAACTATAATTTAAATTCGTATTAAACTCGTTATACTCTTTATAATTTGGAAACTAAATGTACACTTAATTTTTGATTTGCAAACTATTGATAGAATTGATTTTTCCAATTATTTTTTTTGCCTTCTTGGAAATATTCATTACTTATGATGCAATTTCAAAAAAATACAAAATACATAATTTCCATTATTTCAATCTACATAACTTATTTAAATTCATGTTTTCAGTTTCCTGTCTTTCTTTCTTTCATCATTTAATGCACAATTATTTTTATTATTTGTGTATTAGTCCAGAATGCTTGTCGTCAGTTTCATTTTTACTTTTGACATTTTTAGCATGCTTTTTGTGTCAAGTGATGCTTAGAACGTTGTTTTAATGGTATTCTTTAGAACTAAAACGCATGATAGTAAAAATTGAATAACTTTAAATTTATTCTCTTATTTTTAATTCTTTTTTTTTTTACTGACAATTTTATGTAATTTTAGTATTATACTGATTATTATTCTTAAATTTGACTGAAAATTTTGAAACACATTCATAAAAGTAAAAATTACTGCAATTGAAAATATACATACAACTTTAATATTTATTTCATGACAGTTGAATTGAATGTTTATCAATTGCATTATTTGGAAAGCGTTTCAAGTAGGAAGGTCAAGTTTTATTCGTTAAATGTGAACTACATTAGTAGACAATGAAGAAGAAAATGTAGGTATAAAAAATTGCCTCGTCAAATATGAAGAGAATTTTTTTCATTTTCCTAGGTGCTTTATGATGGGAAGCTGTCCAATGCAATTGTGTTCATGTATAACCCAGTAGCGACGGACTCTCAACTGTGTCTACAGAGTGCACCGAAAGGAAACATTTCTTACTTTGTACATACTCCACACGCCTTGATGTTGCAGGTACTATAAATTATTCTATTTTATTCTTTGATTACATCTTCCTTCCTTCGCAAAAACGAGAACCCAACCGAATGGAAATGTTAATTTATGTCAAAAAGAAAAGTAAAAGAATTCCAGAAACTGACAAAAATATAAATATTTATGAAACTTCCGCTTTTATGAAGACAATTTATTTTTGAGCGTCAGAACTTGCTAATATTTATTTTATTCTAGGACGTCAAAGCTGTAATCACACATTCCATACACAGTACACTGAACTCAATTGGAGGAATCCAAGTACTTTTTCCTTTATTTTCACAATTGGACATGCCTTACGATTGTGTATCTCCGAATGACATTCAAAGGGATCCTGCCTTATGGTAATATTTTATAGATTCTAGTAATTATTAACAAACCACTCTAGTTATAATATCTCTACACGAAAAAAAATATTTACCTGGAACAGCAAAAGTTTTAATTAATTTGACTAATATTTTTATTATAACTTGTGAGCGTCGAAATAAAAATGATTCAAGCTTTTTATGCACATTGAAAGCTATAATCCTTTGAAAATGTAAAAATTTGAAATTCTGTTTTATAACTATAGACAAACCGATTTAGTGATTGTAACAACGAATTTGGTTTGTTTCCAGTTCAAAATTATTAGGGTTCATTTGTGACATGATGGAAAGTTCACAAACAGTTCAGCAGCAAATGGTTTTAAATAGAGGATTTGCTGTAATTAGTTACATGCTTCAAAGAGCGAGTAGAGAGCATTTGACGATAGATGTTCTCACTTCGTTTTTGGAGCTTACGAAACACCTTGTCACATGTTTCAGTGCGAACAGTGATCTGCTGTTAAAACAGGTAAACTTTTTTCACTATATTGATATACCTACTAATTTTACAACTGACACAAAAAAAATTATTTTTTTATTTTAGCCTTTTAGACAAAAATTTAATTAACTATAAATAATTATAGTTATTGATTATAAATCGTTTTACATGGCGTAAGCTATGTCTCTTTCTGAGCTAATAGGCTGAAATAAATATTACTATTAAAACCTATTAAATTTTAATAATACTTTATAGCTTTTAAGTATTAAATTTCACAAATTTACTTTTGAAAACAGAGCTCTTTGAAATTGAACTTTTCATGTTTATTGAATGTTGATGTCATATTAATTTAAATTCACAGTAAACGATAAGTCTTGGAAAATTGAATTAATTATTTCATCTGATAACTGTCAGATATTTTCCGTTTGAAATTTCCATATTTGCGGTTTAATTATTTCATTTACCTTTCACGAGAAACAATTTTTTTTCTTTTTTTTTATAAAAAATAAAAATAATTTTGCTTCGAACCCATCCAAAGTATATGAAAATTGAGAAGATTTGTTAAAAATACTTTTTAAGGCTTTTCGATACACTTTTATTACTTTTAGCTCAATATATAGTAATAGGTCTTATGAAATATTTATTATCATTATTTAATCTTTCGGTACATTTTAGAATTCAATGTTTTATTATTCTACTGATTTACTTTTATTTTTTACATCTGCATATGTGTACAATACGCCGAAGTGCACTACACATTTTTATTGATGTAATTTTTAAGTTTCGCTGCAATTGGACTGCATGCAATCTACCGACTTTTCAAGCTTCTTCAATGTTCTTGGCGATATTTCTTTTTTATATTTTGTTGCATTTTCATACGTTTTTTGATTTTTCAAAAGTACGACAAACATAAATATAAAAGTGAAAAAATGTGTATTACTTTCTTTATCAAAATAGTCAAGTTTTTTTATTGTGTTATTCTTTAATTATATATATTTAGTTCAGTCGAAAATTTTTTTCCCTATTTTTTTATTGTGAAATATTAAAAATTTGTTCAATGAAACGTTTGTCTCTGCATCAACGCATGCCAAATAAGTAAGTACAGTGCAAAATAAGGAAATTGCGTCTTTATTGATCTTGAAATATATTTGTCAAATATCCTTGTTGAAAAATGAAAAGTTGTGGAAATGGTTTGAAACTTTAGTACTTTTATTGTTTTCCCCTGTGTTGAAATAACTAAACAGTAAAATATGAACTCATAGAAAGTAGTGGGGATTAAAGTTTTTAGGTCGCAAGCGACAATATCATTTTACAAAAAGGTATTCAAAAGTACTAGAAAATTTCTTTACAAAATTCCCTGTACAAAAATGAATATATTGATAATTAAAATTGAACAACACATTTAAAAAATGGGTTTGAAGAGAGATGTAAAAAATTGGTTTTGTGTCACTTATAACGTCTAAACTTCAACTCCGATATTTTAGGATTATATAAAAAGAAGAATTTTAGCGCAAGGAATTTCAAGACAATCCCAAAACTCTTCATTTTTCAATTGAGATATTTGAGAAAGAATGACTCATGCGAAAAAACTTTTTGTACAAGAATAAACCAAAAGACAAAATCTCAATGTGTATATTTTGAAAAAGAATGTATTTTTGAAATGCCGTAGAATTTAAATTCTTTTTCAATCTAACATTAAGTTTTTATGCTTGATTAGTTTAGCGTGGGTTTAGTTAGAGAAATAAATTGATAGGCTTGTCAGTAATGAAATATAAGACTAAGCTCGAAGAAAGTCGGGTAGATTGGTGTGTCCGAAGAACAGGCAGACCCATGGTGATGTAGATGATTTATTTTCCATTCCTGACATGGCAGCTGTTGGATCACGTCCTCTTTAACCCGGCTTTGTGGATATACACTCCAGCTCCAGTTCAAATTCGACTCTACTCTTACCTTGCTACGGAATTCCTTAGCGACACTCAAATCTATTCGAATGTGAGGCGAGTATCCACAGTTATGCAGACTGTTCACTCCCTCAAATACTACTACTGGGTTGTTAATCCGAGGTCCAAGAGTGGAATTACGCCAAAAGGACTCGGTAAGTTCAAGTTAAAACTAATTAAATATTAAATATTCCTTATCGGGCTCCTTCCATTTCAGTTTCTCCAATTGAAATATTCATTAATCTTCTCAATTACCGTTTCAACGAGTGATTAAATTCATTCACGTTTCATCAACTTTTCAAAGGAAATAATTCAATGCCCCATTAAAACTAATCCAGTAGTGTATAAACAGTATTTACGCGAGGAGAAGAGAGACTTTATTTTTTGGAAAATAAAATATTTTAAATAAACAATCTGACGACTTGGGCCAAAATAAAATATAAATTACGTGCAACATCTTCATATTTTCAACTTGAGAAATTTTTCCTTTCATCTCTTTATTTCTGAAAATATTTATTCCTCAAACATTCTAAAAATTTTATTTTATTAAAGTCAAAAAATTGTTTATATTCAAATATTTCCCTCGTGGCTTTTAAGCATATTAAACTGATAAATGATAAAATTGAAACATCACTTTTTCTTAAATTTATAGTGGAGAATTTTCTTTTATTTTCAAACTAGAAAAATCAGGTTGCAAATCGAATCAAGAATAACAAAGTTATAAAAAAATTTTTTACATCAACTCACATGAAAACGATTCTTTCTTCCTCTGATATTTAATATTCATGGTGTAGCGATACAATTCAAGTAATTTTTATGATTTTTGAGTACTTTTAATAAATAAGACCAATCTTGTTACCATCTTTACTTTGCGAACAGATGGAACACGACCTCCACAAAAGGACATTTTGACAATACGATCGTACATCCTGTTATTTCTGAAGCAACTCATTATGATAGGACATGGTGTGAAGGAGGACGAAATTCAAACCGTTCTTAATTATCTAACGACAATGCACGAGGTGACTCTTTTTCCTATACTATATCGAAATATTATAATTTCATTAATTAGGAAGTTGTCAACTTGCATCTATATTACAATTTTTCAGGATGAAAATCTTCACGACGTCTTACAAATGCTTATCACAATGGTTTCTGAATATCCATCGTCTCTAGTGCCAGCTTTCGATTCTAAACACGGGGTCAGGACAGTCTTCAAGCTTTTGGCAGCAGAAAGTCAATTAATACGACTTCAAGCACTCAAGTTATTAGGTTTCTTTCTCAGTCGTAGCACTCACAAGTAAGATTTCTATATTGCAATTGGGAATTTACTTCAATTCAACTGATACACGTATATTTATAATTTAATATGTGTAATTTTAGGAGGAAATACGATGTTATGATTCCTTATAATTTGCACTCGTTGCTTGCCGAAAGATTAATGTTGAACGAAGAGACGCTCTCTTTACCAACGTACAACGTTTTATACGAGGTAACGTTATTAGAGCACCATTGTGGCTTTTTAAGTTCTTTATATAATTTTAACTTTGTTAATTGCAGATCTTGACAGACAATATTAGTCAACAAATATTGTATACGAGGCATCCCGAACCAGAATCACATCATCGAATAGAGAGTGCAAGTGAGTATCATTTTAAATAAATTTTATCCATGTAAAATAATAATTTGAAAAACGAACCGACAAATTTATATTTATAAAAATTTGCAGATATTCTCAAAGTAGTGGCAACATTAATTCGTCAATCGAAGCGAACTGAGCAACTGCTTGATGTAAAGAAATTGTTTCTCTCTGACATGACGTTACTTTGCAACAACAATCGTGAGAACAGACGAACCGTCTTACAAATGTCAGTGTGGCAAGAGTGGTTGATTGCAATGGCTTATATTCATCCTAAAAATACAGAAGAGCAGAAAATATCAGACATGGTTTACTCCTTGTTTCGAATGTTGCTTCATCACGCCATCAAGTATGAATACGGTGGATGGCGAGTATGGGTCGATACTCTGGCCATTGTTCATTCTAAAGTAAGCAGTGAAATTGAAAAATTAATAAATAAGACGGACACACTGAGAAATTGTTGAATCTATTGCTATTCTTCTGTTACAGGTTTCTTACGAAGAATTCAAACTCCAGTTTGCTCAAATGTATGAACATTACGAGAGACAGCGCTGTGACAATATAACTGATCCTGAATTAAGACAACAGAGGCCAATTAGCACAATTTCAGGATGGGACCAACACCACCCAGTGACGAATGGTTACACAAAACCGACAACGTGGGTTAATCAACAACAGTTGGAAATACAGCATGTAAATGTGAGTAATCAAAATAAGTAGGTAATGAAAAAGTTGCACAATTATACTGTTTACTTGTACTGTCTTTAGGAATTCGATCCGCCTGAAAATAACGACCGATTAGAGGAATCGTGCAGTTGTGATTTAAATTCGATTGACAACACTGAAAGCGATGGAAGTCCTGCACTCGTCAAATCACGTAGTGAAACAGTTGACACTCAACAATCTAGCGACGTTGTTTCCCTTGATTCTAGACTTAGCGATAAACCTGAAACACCGACAACGGCTCGAGAGAATCACGTCGAACCTCTGACAATTTTGGAGAACCAAAGTGGTCAGGTTTCGCCAGTGACAACAACTCAAGAAGCCAGCGAAACTTTTTTAACTGAGAGCTCGAATGAGTTTTCCAGTGAAAAGGTTGAAAGCTCAAGTCCAGACTCGATGATTCATGAAACTTTAACAAAGGACAAAGAAACAATCAGTCACATTCAAGAATTGGATGTATCCTTTACGACAAAAGACACGGAAGACACAACTTCCGTTTCTCCTTTTGAAGATGCCGAAGACATCGAGGACAAGAAGGAAGAGGAGAAAACTGAAATAAAAGAAGAACAAAGTACAGAAGAAAAAAAGGTGGAGGAAGATGAAGGAAGTATATTAGAAACAGAAGGAACTACTGAAGAGAAGGAAACAGAAAAAGAGAAAATGTTCGAAAACGAGAAAGAAAAACAGGAAATTTCAGACAGAAATGAAGAAAAAGAAAATGTGGAGCAACTTGAAAAGTCACCATCAAAGGAATTAAATGAAGAACCGAATGCGGCGAATGAAGAAAACGAAGTAGTCAGTGAAGAATTCAAATCCGCGTCAGAGTCTCAAGAAGATTCCGAGTTGACAGCAGAGGAATGTAGAAAAGTATCTATTGTCGAGGAAACAACTGACGACAGCGAACTAGAGAAGGAAGTTTCCATTTCAAACAATACAGTATCTGAAACGAACCATGCGAAAGAAGAGATTGAACAGAATGAAGAAGACAAAGACAAAGACAAAGAGTGTTTGGAAATAAGTCTTAATTGCTCAACTAGCGTAGTGCAAAACGCCGAAAACTCTCAAGTAGGGATTAAAGAATCGGAAATATTAGAAGATAGTACGTTAATTAGGGATGAGGGTGAAAGTGATGTTATAGATAGTAGCAAGAAAGAGGATCATCCCGAGGAAGAGTCGAATCAAGGTGAATCTAGCGAGCCGTCCAATATTTCTACTAGCTTAAGTGATAATGCGGACCTTCCAGTGAGGACTAACGACGAGGAAGTAACGGATAGTGTTTGTAAAAATAGCGATGTTCAAACTTGTGTAGATAATGTGATGCAAGTGCCAAACTCGACGCAGCAAATTCCAACAATGCCTACAGTCTGTGATGATGTAATTACAAGTTTACAAGACGGTGTGCCTGAAAACGATAGTTCTAATGTGATTGCAAAAGACAATCCGTTACCAAATGGCTCAAGTTCACCAAACGAGGAATACGTCAAACGAAAAATGAGTTTATCAAATATACAAATCTCCGAGGAAAATGTAGATTCTGCTTCTAGTGAACACTCCGCCCTGTCGGCGTCCAACAAACCATACACCTCGCCACAGAAACGACCAAGGAGTGCCTCGACTTCCACGCAAGTCGATCCAAATCAATTTGGTTAGTATATATACTTTATTTACTCCTCCTGTCCGGTCCCACGCAGAGATCTTTATTTCTATTTACGAAAAGAAATCTTTCTTCTAAATATATTTAATTATTATAAAAGATGTTATTTGTATACTCAATTGACTTGTTTAGGTGAAGTGTACTTATTAATATACACTTTGCAGCACAATTTAATTAAAAGTACTGAGGGATGTTTTTTTGCAGATTCAAATAGAGCAGTTTCAGCAGCCGCAGCGGCAGCTACTACCGCACGGCAAGCAACTAATCCTTCCACGAGGCCAATGTTCAGTCCAGGGCCAACGCGACCGCCGTTCAGGATACCAGAATTCAAGTGGTCTTATATTCATCAAAGACTACTGTCGGATGTTTTATTTTCTCTCGAAACTGATATTCAAGTTTGGAGAAGGTGAGTTACGACTACATAATATCAAACAACTAGAGAAACATGCTATTGTGCATATTTTCTTGAGTAATTTAGTTTTTTCTTTAAGGTTTATTTTAATTATATTATAGTTTAACGTGATATTGACAAAAACTAAATAAATTTTTACAGTCATTCGACGAAATCAGTCCTTGACTTTGTCAATAGTAGCGACAATGCGATATTTGTGGTGAATACGGTACACCTCATATCTCAACTTTCTGACAATCTTATTATGGCCTGTGGTGGATTACTGCCTCTTTTAGCTTCTGCAACTTCACCAAATGTAAGTAATGTTCTTATTGGAAATATATATTTATTTAGAATTTATGCGAAAAATAAGTTCCTCGAACATTTATCTATAATCGACAATTGCAGAGCGAATTGGACGTGATTGAGCCAACTCAGGGTATGCCAATCGAAGTAGCAGTCTCATTTCTTCAAAGGCTAGTCAATATGGCTGATGTACTTATTTTTGCAAGTTCGTTGAACTTTGCTGATCTGGAGGCTGACAAAAATATGTCCAGTGGTGGAATTTTAAGACAGTGTTTACGTCTGGTTTGTGTTTTTTTTCCAATTTTCTAGCTCTTTTATAAACTTTGCCTATGTATCGATTTTCATATGAAATCTACCATTTTTGACAAGTTTGCTTTAAGCTCAATAGACAAAAAGGCTTTAGAAAAATCAAATATTTGTTACAGTTAATTGATTTTTAAACATTTACTTTTGGAAGTAAATATTTGTACGAAAAATATTCATACGACATGCACATTGTGTGTTTAGCTTTCAGTAATTTGAGTATGTACAGGAATCTCAATTTTCTTGCAAGACAGATTTTTTTCATGTGTAAAATATTGAAAGAGAAATTTACAGAAGAGCACTTTATTCAATAAAATGTCACAATTTTCGTTTGAGTAGTTTAGCCCAGAAATAAGTTTTAAAATCAACACTCAAGAAAGTCAGTAGTTGAAGAAATATTTTTTATTTTATTTTGTATACCTGGATTGTTATTTATTTCTATTTTCGACACATTATCGTCCTACTCTAGAATAGAATAAATTTTTATTGCCCTTTTGAGTCCTGATTAATCGTCGATTAACAGCCACGGTTTCAACTGTCTTTAATCGTCGATTAAACTGCTTGTTTAGGTCTGTACATGTGCCGTTAGAAACTGCTTAGAGTGTAAAGAACGTGGCAGAACGTACAGCATGTTAGGTCGTCAGATTGGTTCTAGTAATAAATCACAGCACATACAATCACTTATTCGAGGAATTCAAATGTCACCCAAGGTGTGTATTTTAGCCTGTTCTATAGTTATTACAAAGATTACTTACATTATTATTACTTAAATGATGGACAACATTTATTGTCAACACTCAATTTTCTAGAATATCGTGGATAATTTAGCGAGTCAATTAAGTCCTGTCAAAGATCCAGAGAAACTGCTTCAGGATATGGACGTAAATCGATTGAGGGCAGTAGTTTACAGAGATGTTGTGAGTATTAACTTTTCCATCAGTCCTCTTACAACTAAAAAGCTTCTTTTGCAATTAATTAAATAAAAAACATTCCAATCAATTGTGGCCTTTAATTAAGTTAAATATCATTGTTATACTTTTGCTAGCCTTGAACAATTTTTTTGTACAAATATCTTGAGTCGTTTTTTTCTTCACGAAACTTTCATTTATTTATTTTAAAAATTGAAAAAGGATGTTAAAATAAAAATGTTAATATATGAAAATAATTTTTTATTTTATGTTTTAATATTCAAGTCTTTAAATTTTTATCGATTAAAAGATACTTGACGAAAAATCAAAAAATAATGTGATGCCAAATAATATTGAACATTTTTCTATCGATTACAGGAAGAAACCAAGCAGGCACAGTTTCTGTCTCTGTCTATAGTTTACTTCATCTCTGTACTAATGGTTTCAAAGTATAGAGATATTTTGGAACCACCAGTAACTCCGCGTCCACCCAGTCCTGTAAAAATGATTCAAACAAATGGGACAAATCTTCGACCTGGAAGTCCGACAGGTAAGATTTCAATAAAATATTTATTTTCATCAAACCTTTCAAAACTAGAAAGAAAAAAATTCTTTTCTTAATCCACACGGAGAGAAAAATCTGCCTTTTATAGTATGAAATAGATTGCTGCTATTTTTCTTTAAACTTTTCATACTAATAGAGCAAAGATTTGAGAATTTTTAGGATAGTATTTGTCCGTACTAAAAAAGCATAGTATATATGCTTCTATAGTACGAAACATGTAGTTTAATAGCAACAACGCCATGCGAAGATCGCACATAACATCATCCTACTATGTTTGCATAAGTTCTATGCTTTTTCGGGGATAGACTCTTGCATCTGGCGATTAGGCCACGCCCACCTTTACTGAATTGGAACTGCCCTAATCGCCAGTTGCAAGAGTCTATCCCCGAAAAAGCATAGAACTTATGCAAACATAGTAGGATGATGTTATGTGCGATCTTCGCATGGCGCCGTTGGATTAAAAGTATAATAAGTATGTAATAAGAGGCTATATGACAAACATTATTAGCATAGACAAGCTAGTTTCATGCTAAAAAGACATACGATTGTACTATAATTACTCAAATTTCATGTCTATATAGCATAGAAAATTTATGTGCATTAAATGTAAACCTTTCTATACTATAAAAGGCAGATTTTTCTCTCCGTGCAGAGATGAAAAAAGTACTTTGTAACCAACTACTAATGAAATTGAAACAAAATTTCTTATGAACAAAATTCTTATAAATAAAAAAAGTTAAGTTCAGAGACTTGAATATAGTGATGGATTGTAATTTAACATGAGAAGTTAATAATTATTTGATAAAATGAAGAGAAAGATTAGTATATCAGGAAAAAAGTTAGATTTCAAATTTTGTTATTTAAACATTGAAAACATCAAATTATGATTTTAATTTATATTAAATTTATAGTAATTCTTACTTTTCGCATATTACTTTGAATTTTTTTACATTGTCAAAACTCTTACGTGTCAGATATTATGATAATTTTAGCCATCACTGTTGATTTTCTACATTCATCATAATATTGTTTCTATTTTTTGAAAAAGAAATAAAAAGAGAAAAAAAATTCCAGCATGATAGAGGTAATTTTAAACGCATGTCTTGCGGTGCCAATAGATGCTTAGTCTTTAATCAAGACTAATATAAATATAGAATAATAATAATACATACTAGAAATATTACTAAGTTTACCAAAATTAGCATTTCAGAAAATTAAGGACTGCTCAAAATTTGTTATTAGACATAGAATATACAAATCTCATTATTTTTCTCGATCAATATTCTTTATTCATCCGTCATTAATGAAATATTATGTATATTTGTGAATGTACATACAAAGAGAAATGTAATATTTATTTAAAGAATAATTATACTGAGAAATTTATTTAACAAAATATAATACTTTTATGGCCTTTGCGCCAGAAATAAGAACAACTTGAAGATTAAAATAAAAAGAGTACCTACTTGACCAAGAAAAAAAATTTTTCCTTTTTCTCAAATTGGGAAGTTCAACCTGGTTTTGATTGACATAAAATTTATGGCTTGGGCGAAATTGGGAAGATTTTATTATTTACGATTCAATTAATTTGGCAATGGTCTTTTACACATTATTATTAGTAAAGGAAACTTAATTAACTCCTGCTGAACCAATTGCCACAAGACAATAAAAACAATTTAACATTTAAAGAATGAAACATTTTGAATAAAATTTACGACCAGAAATTTAATTTAATCTAGTTATTTACTCTCTTTAGTTGATTCAGAGAATAATTTATTTTAACTTTTGAAGTAGATTGCACTGGAATAGAAATAGATTGAAGTAGAGATGATCAAATTAAGGAAATTAAATGATAATAGATATTATTTAGGCACATATCATAATAAAATATATTATATACACCAGTTGACTTAACTTTATTTTAAATGTTGTGAAACAATAATTTATCCATAAATTGTTTCTCGAATATGTTATAATGTATTAAAGATAATACAAATACATACAGTGACGAAGGGTTTGTGCTGGTCGGACTAAACATATATTGTATATTGTTTTGATTTGATGATTATGCAAAAAATTTTGTTGCACTAACAGTTTTATAACCAGCATTGGGAAGACGATATAATAGCACATACCACCCTCTAGAAAGCATGTGTGGTTGCACTGGTAATAATTAATAATTTGACATCTCTTACTTTGTATCTGACAGTGAGAGTTTTGATGTTAGTTAAATATGTTTATATTGCACATTATTCTCCAGGTATCAAATTCAATTCCATTGTTATCTCGTCTTTATTTAAATTCATCGATTTTTCTTCGAAATTTCTTCCATTGTAACCTAATCCTATTTTAACGCCTCTATGATGATTTCATTTCTTATAATATGCTATATTTCTATGGAGGCAGTAACGGATTGAGAGAATTTATTAAAGAATTTCGTTACTATTGATTTATATACATTCCTGTAAAGTGGAAAAATCGTAAGAAATGGTACAATCAATGGTTCTCCATTTTTATCTTTAACTAAAACAATATTTATAAAACCTTTTCATTAACACGTTATGAATGTCACAAATTGGCTTGGTTCGCAACAACACATTGAAATTATTCAATATAAATGGAATTTTAAAACTAGATTTACATTAGCTGCAGTTTACGGAATGTTTAAAGTGTCGAAAATTTTGAAATTTACAAGTACAAAAAGTTAGAGATTTGCTGGTTAAAAATGGGAAAAGATAAATGAAATAAAGAGATGCTTTTAATAAGTTGGGAAGATGCAGGAAGGTTACATACGTATAGTAAAATATGGTTCCACAGCGGATGGAAATGGTGGTGGAGACGGGCGGCCTCTATTTCCACAATGGTCTCACCACGTACACCCTCAGTTCCTTCCGGGGTCACACCCCAACGCCAATGTCAATGCCAATGCCAACCACCACATCAGCCAGCACCACCACCAGCACCCGCTACCAGCTGCCAGGCACCCTAACAATCGCCAACTTTCCAACTATTGTCTCTCGAACCACCATAATAACCATCACAATCATTATCCAAATAACTTTAACTATCATCGGTATCACTATCATCATCACAATAACAACAATCACCATCACGCGCTTCAAAATCATATCGATCAGCCCCGAAATGTCTATCATAATAATTCTGGTGTTGGTCTGCAAGGTAATTAATGGCTCGTTTTGTTTCTTTCACCGAATGTCTTGCTTTCAGAACTGTAATTAATTAATTAAAAAACAAATGTTTACATTATTTTAAGGACTTTTCACTTATTTGCAAATTACGGTTCTGATCATTACATTCAGCATGTGTGCTTGTGCTTACAGTCAAACATTTATTCCTCTTAGCGATATATGTCTGATTATTATTATTATTATCGTCCTCTTTGAAACATTATCGCTTTAGATTACACATCCCTCATCCTGTGATCTGCAAGACTATATTCCTACCTTTGAAGCATATTAATAGATGACACAGGATGCATAATATTGAATACCATCTAATTATTAATTAATAACAATGAATCACAATTAGGGACATTTGACCATTCCACATTACAAGTAAACTTTCTTTGCAGGCTATCCCATAAAATAATAGATTCTTTTAAAATAAAAAATCAACAAACAATTTGATTAAATAAAAATTAGGGCTAATAAAAATTTGGTGTCACAAATTCGGCTGAATGGTTAATGCGGTTAAATGAATTTCTGTCAATGTCTGTCAACATATTTTTAGAAAGTTGAGAAAATATTTTGTAAATTACGCCTCAAAAATAATTCATGGTTGTGTTTGTTTACAAATTCGAGTGTACCTACAATATGTAGTAAAGAATAGTCAAGGTTAGTAACTTGACAATGAGTTTTGTTTATTTTCGTTGGTGTCAGACATTTATGTGTTTACACGGCTCTTCCCTGAGTGCATGATATGTTTACTTGCTTTCGCTCTGAATGTTGCATTTTCTCTTCTGAACACTACTGTTATTTAGTTTTCTGTTTTATGCATGTGTAAATAAATTCTGAAAGGAATTGATAATCATTTAACTTCAACTTGAGTTCTTTATTTCAAGTATTTTTCTTTTTCGAAGTGCCCCCTTTCTCTGCCTCTTTTTCAATGAATCTATCCCTCCAAAAGGTTTTATTTCGTATTATTGAATATTCAGCGAATTCTTTTCATATGATTAATAAAATTACTTTTTTTCTACAAAGGAAATTTTATTTCGAGTATACCATTCTAAACAGGAAATTTCATCAAATTATGATTTTGCACGATTTCAGTTATGAGCAACGTGCGCGTTGAATTTATATTCTCGTATTTAACATTATCTTGTTAAATATTTTGTAAAGAACGTTGATTTATGTTCGCATGGACTCTGCGATGCTCAAGTGATTACTGCGAGTGTAATTATTGGATTAAAAATCTTAAAAATAACCTTTTTATTTTACATTTCAGGAAGTGGTCGAGTGAGCCATTCGGGATCACAAGACGATGGCGAATATGAAGTTATAGTCGTCGATGAAAATAATTCCTCTATTTTGGCGGATCACGATGTTCCTTCCTCTGGTCCGCCCTCGACAAAGGTAAAAATTTCAGTTTATTATTTTCTACATTCAAGTATCAAAATTTTGCAAATAACATTATTTTTTAAAAATCAAAGTAGATATTATTTCATAAGCTAATAAAATAGTATACTCAAAATTATATTGATATTTTTATAAGATTTAAATATCGAGTAAATTTTATTGACTATAAAAAGAATATACCTAATATATATTCTTCTTTTATAGTATGCATTTTTTCTTAACCCTCTGCCTCAGAACTCTACTTAATTGTTGGTCAAGAAAGTTGCTTAATGTAGCATTAAATAAAAAAGAGTAACTTTGACAGAGGATTAAGTCTGCATGAATATTAAATAAATTTAAATACAAGTATATCAAGTTACTGCTTATAGCGCATACATTGCTTAATTTTATTCACTGTTTCAACATATTACTATAAATTGAGGGTCATTACTTTCCTTATAAAAGATGAGAGAATAGTTCCTAAATAGTTATAAATGAAACTTTTCTTTTTCTCTTATAAACAGTACAACCAAAATATTTATTAGTTCTCTTCCCATAAATGATCTTTTTCTATACTTTACTAAAATTAATTATATGTTTATAACATTAAAAAATGCTAATATTTCATGTATTAAAAAATTTGAATTAAGCTTAAAAATGTTGTTTCAATAAAAAAAATGAATCACCCAAAGTAAATAAGTAAAAGGTAGTTTAAAATAACAATAAAATATGCTCGATACTTTGGCATGTAGTTTTAATGTGGGTACTGCATTTAAATAGACCTGTCGTCGTAATTATAATTTTGGCATTTAAAATACAGTTTTGAAAACTTTTTTCATCAGTGTTGTCGATATACATATATATAAAAATTTAAAATTCACTGTAAATTAGGAAATGCGGGGAAATGGTTAAACATTTTTTAGTACCGTATAATTAAATAAAGTAATCGTACATTTTGATTATAAAAATAAGTAAACTACAGTGATAACAGCAATAATTGGTTCGTTAAATTGTTATAAATGAAAATTTTTTGTATTATAGCAGGGCTTTTTAAATGTACTAATATTGCTCTCTAGTTTCGCAGCATGTACACATTTTGTTTCTTAAACTTTTAATCTTGATCTTCTCTCTGCTTGAATTGCTATATACATACTAACTACTGGTTCTGAAGGCTGGTCCTAGGCCCCGGAATATTCGCGAAGATTACACCTCGACAGAAACCTCTCTCGGCACTTCTGCGGGACCCGAACTTCTTCCCCGAAATCCACAGGTAACTTTTCCTAAGGTTGCGGTGGACAATATATAAATAGACATTTCAAAAATGAATATTATTCCCGTAAATGGTTTTGAAAAATGTAAACAAAATTAAGTATATGATTTTAAATACATTTTACGTATTACATAATGCAAATATTTAAAGAAATTGTCTAAATATGTAAACTACTATTGTTGCGGGTAAAAACTGAATTTAAGAATAGAGAAAATATAACAGCTTCGAAACTGGAATCTTCATTACCTCTCTGATCAGGTAATAAATTTTCTCGCCAAATTCAATTATAACTTATCTCACGTCTTATATGTTTAATACTTCTCTCACTCGGTATATTGAGCATTTCTCTTATTTCATAAAACTTTTCTCTTTTCTAGATTTATATTTTTCCTAGAAAAGCTTATATATTGGAAGGCTTAGTTTAATCGATTTTATGTATATTTTACGAGATTGCCTTTCTATAGCGTACATTGTATAATATTGCATGGTAAAACGTATTTACTTTCATAGCATATATTGACATTTTTACAAATAGATATATATATATATATATATATATATATATATTAAATACACCTTATGTCGAGAGCTTCGGGTTTTTGTAATAATTTTTATTTTGTTGTTTGTAAAACGTACAAGTGCAGTTAGACTATATATATTTAGTATAAAAGTAGAATTAGCTTTTGAGAAAAGATTACATTTTTCATTTACAATTTGGTACTAGTTATAGATGCTGTTCAAATAATATTTAAAAAATATCACGTCTGTACAAACTTGTTTTTTATTTCCATTTTTTTCTTTCTTTATTTATAAATGTTGAAAAATTGAAAAAATATTTTCACCATGTATAAATTAAAACTATGAAAGAAAACAATTTACATTTTTTTTTCTATTTTATACCCAGTTAAGTGAAAATTTATTTATTTATTTACACATAAACGGGCTACAAAGAAGAAAATGCCCTTTTGTTAATTAATATTTAAAATATCTCGATATATAGGAATATATTGGATGTGACATTAAAAAAAAATTTTGTGGCAAGGGCAAAAAGATGAACGATTGCTGAACGATTTTTTGTGTCCAATAGCACGATAAACAAGACGTAGCGAATCGGTTTTATCGTCTATAATAATTAATTAAACGAATCTTCTCAGGTTTTGCAACAAAAATACAAATTTTAATACATAATATTAAATAACCTCATTTAATATTTGATAATCAATATATTTATAAGACCTGTTGCCGATTTCATATTATTAAGTTTTACATTTTTGAAAAAAGTGAATCTCCTTCACTCACTCTCAGCAGCACTATACAAGCACGGAAAGTCCCGTTTTTCGTGTATGTTGGACACATTTTTTTGTATCATTCTTCTATTATTAAATTTGATTCTTCATTTTTATTTAATTAATTTATGAAAAAATAATATTAAAATCACGTATTTACCTTTTTTACTCTTATATTTTCTCTGACAATGATATTTAGTTATCAAATAGTTGTATAATATATCTTGGTCATTAATCAGTTTTAGAAAACTCGTTCTTTATAAGTATTTGTTATCTTTCTTTAGAGCAACGATTCGAGTGAAGAAAACGGACAGCGAAGTAACATCACTGGTGATCCTAGTCTATCAGAAGTGACAACTGATAACGAAAACAAGCAAAATTCATCAGAAGAAGCTTGGACTGATGTCAACTTAAACGAGGAGGGAGATACAGTACCAATAACAAATCAAAGAAATGGAACTAGAAACGTTAATAATATCACACGTTCTCATGGTAAGTAGTCAAAAAAGAGTCTGGATGTAATAACCACTTGTAGGCTTCCACTCCATACTTGAGTAAAAAAGACTATTATGCGATTCCCACTTTTTTATTTACAACTCTTCAGGGTCATGAAAAGCTATCCAATCATTATTTCAAGACCTTGAAAAGTGGCCAGTGGAATGAGAAGGCTTCTCGTGTGAAGTATCCTCCTCTGTACAGAATACAGGATTGAGCGCGTTATTGAATCCAGACTCAATTATGGAAAATACTTAAATATTATAACAGCACATTCTACTTTTATTTTGCAAAAAGCGTTATTCTTTTGTAAAATGAAAAATGGTATCTTGTAGGTGAACTTCCTGATAGCGAGGGAGAGGTGATCGACAGAGAAACGTTTTCAAATGCAGAGCGAGGGGAAAAACCAGTAACAGAAATATCAGTTGTTCGAGTTCCTGACCATTTGATGGTGACGCCATCAGCACCAAGATCTGATGATTTACCAATTAAAGGTCTTGTTGATCACATTCCAGTCCCAACACCAACGCGAGAAGCCTCACTAACTCAACAATTGGAAACAGCTTTGGGATCTGTGTGTCCGCTGCTTCGCGAAATAATGGTTGATTTTGCACCTTTTCTTTCAAAAACGCTCATTGGGTCACATGGACAAGATTTACTTATGGAAGGAAAAGGTATATTAATTTAATGTTTTGTTTCTAAAGATAATACCAAATATCTTATTCCCAAAATACACAAAATAAAATTGCTTGTTAACACTGTAAAGATTGTTTGAAAATTCGCGGATAAATATTTGTAATACATATTTGCCCCACGTCATATACCCCATGTCGATTGCGCCGCGAGAGCTATACCGCCGAGCTCTCTCGCAAGTGTCCCGGCCACTGATCGGCTATATAAGCTGCACTCCCGCAGGAAATCGGGAACTCTTGTGGTTCAGGGAGTCGGTGAGTGGCATTTCCCCAAGTACTATGGAGCATTACTCCGACATATCGTATGAGAGTATTTCTCTCGTCTCAACGAGGTATTACCCGTTGAAGACACAAAGCAGAATTACTGCGTTTTCGCGTTCCCGTTTTGTACGTAACCCCGGGCGCAGTTGTTCGTCGTCGCTTCCGTTCCTCCGGCGTAGGGAACGTAACGTAACGTAGAGTAATGTAATCCGTATTTTTTGATCGTTTCATATTTAAATTGTTCTCGTCGTATATTCTAATTGTAAAATCGTTTACGTCGTACTTTTATTGTCGTCTCTTTTTTTTAATAAACGTTATTTTTCGAATTGTGTCTGTAATTTTAATGTAAAATCACACAATCGTTATGAACTCACATAAAAAACAATAAAAACTACCGTATATCATAAAGAAGTCTCGCCAAAGATATTCAATAATGTAACGTTACGATAAAGTTATATGCAATTAACTGAGATCATGAGATCCAGATACACTATACTACTGCGACTACCTTCGTCTACTTTCTATATCCCTCAATTTATACACTGGGAGGGAAAGGGTATTGTATTTTCCCCTCATTCTTCTTAATTTAATTGTGGAAACGACGATAACAATATTGGTACATACATATACTATCTGTCGGTATTGTTCCATTACCGATGGTCCTGTGTTCCACAGGATAGGAAAGGCGTATGCCGAATGAGAAGAAGGAAGCAGATTGTAATTAGATTATTGGAAGTAATGATGAGTTATGAAAAATTCTTGAATTTGCTCTGATTGCTTTTTTGGCCTTATCGAGTTGTGATTTATGGTGATGGTACTTAACACTTTTATTTGGAATATCAGTGATTATAGTGACGTTATCGGGAGTTGTTATGGTTTATGATGGTGATTCATGCACATTAAATAAATTATCTTTGTTTCAGTAATATTCTGCTGTATCGTCGCCTGGTGTCATTTAATTGCTTGTCTTTTCTTGAAGCCACCAGTAATTTAAAAAAAATTTGAGGTTTTTTTGGTTTGATAAAGTAGGTTTATTTAAATCATTTCAATATACATAAACAAAGGTATAATACCTCTTACAAAGACCTTATACCATATAATTTTTATAATTAGGTATGCTATCAATGATAGATCTCGCCTAAAGACATTATTGGTTTATATCTAGTGTTATTTTGCTATCTGTATCGAAGTAATACTTTATGTTTATACATAATACTGTAATAATACGGTCAGGTAAAAAATTCTATATAGAATAAAAATCCCGGAAAAAAATTTTGAGGTTTTGGTTTAAAAAAGTAGTTTTATTTTGAATTTACAGATATTAGTTTACAAAGAGTAAGGCATAAATCCACTTATAAGACCTTAAACACAATAATATAATAAATGATATGCCATCGTTGATGGGTCTCGTCATTACACTATAATGGATCATAAATTATACGGGATTTCGTAAACAATATTAATATAATAAATGCGTGAACATATTTCAGTATAAGTAGGAATTAGGCAAAAATTATTCGAATACAAAAACCCTAAGACAAGTATCAAATAATAATAAAGACCTAAAACTAAAAAAAAGAGAACGACAAGAATATTACATTGTAATATTCGAGAAAGGATAAGTTAAATAATTGCTAATACCGATATTTAAAAGAAATTATATGTAGGAATGTATTGTCTCTATTAATTTGAGTTTTGAAATTAAGAAATTTAACCAAGAGGTAAATTGTTGTTATGTGGTGATTCGTCTTCTTGATCTCCTTCTTATTTCATCCAAATGTATCGCGTCCTCGTTCAGCCACCAAAAATCTTTATTTAATCTCTCTGTAGATATAAAATCCGAATCAGATAAAGCTATCGAATATGTTAAATTTTCTTCTTTGTATTTATCTATATCCGTGAAGATGGCCTTTTTTGCTTTGTGTCGCTGGGCGTGATAAATTACTGGAACGTTGTTTTCGTTTTGAATATATCCAATTTTGTCTACATGGCAGAAAATCTCTGGTGGAATGTATCCCGTCTTGAGCATTCTTGTTATGATTATATTGTTGTCGCACTTTAGATTATTTAGCAATGAGTTTCCTATTGTATAAACTTTACTGAAGTAGTTTCTAGTCAGGTTGATAGTGAATATGTCAAATCTCAAAAAAAAAAACTTTGAGGTTTTTTGGTTTGGTTTGATAAAGTAGGTTTATTTAAATCATTTCAATATACATAGAAAGGTATAATACCTCTTACAAAGACCTTATACAATATAATTTTATAATTAGGTATGCTATCAATGATAGATCCCGCCTAAAGACAATATTGGTTTATATCTAGCGTTATTTTGCTATCTGTATCGAAGTAATACTTTATGTTTATACATAATACTGTATTAATATTGTCAGGTAAAAAACTCTATATAGAATAAAAATCCCGACTTAAGTAATTAATTTATTTGGTTGAGCGATAAAATTTATCTTAAATAATAACAAGATAGAACTAAAATAGAATAAAAAGAATGAAAAAGGAAAGAGAAAAAAAAAAAAAAAATATATATATATAATAAAAAAAAGAAAATATATATATAATATAAATGAAAAATATATATAATAAGATAGAATACGAAATAATAGAATAAGTTGGATAAAATATATAGTAATAATAAAATATATAATATTTTGCTATTAAAAAATAAAAAATAAAATATATTTCTCTATTTATTATCTATAGGATTTATATATATATGAATATGTTATTTTATTTCTTATTTCGTTGAGTAAAGTTTTGCTATATATATATAAAGATATATAATAAAGTTTACTTAGTGTCTCTAAAATGTTCTTTTTATCACAATGAATTAATCAAAATTTCACAACCGATTAATCACTATAATACATTTATTTTCACAACCGATTATCACTAAAAGATGGGGTTTAAGGCACTTTAGGTCAATTTGGTTGCACTGCGTTTAGTACACTTTGAGCTCTTCTTCTTGCTCGTCTTCTTATATCATCTATGTATTTGGCATTGTTTTGTAGCCACCAGTAATCTTTGTTTAATCTTGATGTTGAATGGTAATCTACATCTGGTATGGTTGTTGAGTAGGTGAGATTTTCTTTTCTGTATTTTTCCTCTTCAGTGAAGATGGCCTTTTTTGCCCTATGACGTTGGGCATGGTATAATGTGGGGATATTTTCTGCATTTTGGATGAAACCTTTATTGTCAATGTGTGTAAAGATCTCAGGGGGTATGTAGCCTGTTCTCAGCATTCTTCCGATGTTGTCTTCATTGTTGCACTCCAGTTTGTCCAGTATTGTGTTTTTTACTTTTTTGATTTTAGCAAAATATCTTCTAGTCAGTTGAATTGTGAAATTGTCGTATCTTGGAATTTTTGTTAGGTTATAAATTGTTTTATTGTCGATTCGTCTTTTGTAATTGCTAGATGCTGTTCTGTATTGGCCTAGGGCCATTTTAAGGCAGGATCTTTCAAATTTTCTATACTTTTCCATGATTGAGGGGCCTGTATTCCAGAGTATAGGCGCAGCGTAGGCGTTGATAGGGCGTATTAGTAGAAGATAGCATATTATTTTTGCTTTTGCTTCAAGTGCTGTGTTGTAGAAGATTCTGGAGTTGGCTCTTATCGCTTTTTTAGCTTTATTTAACTGAGTTTTGTGGTGTTCATTCATTCGTATGAGGTAGTCGAAGTGAACTCCTAGGTATTTAACTGTTTGTTTTTGCGGTATGATGAATTCTTCTGTAGTGTTATCCTCATTTGTATTTTTGATAGATATTTTAAATGTTTTTAGTTTTTGTACAGTCGTGAATGGAATTTCATTTACTGTTTTTCTAAAGAGGATGCAGTCGCATTTCGAAGGGTTTATTTTAAGGTTCCAGTTTATGTAGAGTTTGTTTGTATCGTTTAGTAGTGTGTCCAGTTTTTCATTAATCTTTTCAACTTTGTTGTCAGCTACGTATATAATGACGTCATCAGCAAAAGCTATGGAGTGTGTATTATTTCCAGTGTTCATATCGAATTTGTTGAGTGATTCTGCATTGTAGAGGTTAAATAGTATAGGGGATGGGACTGTTCCTTGTTGTAATCCTTTTTTGATATGATATGTTTGGTTTGAGGTTAGGTTGTTAATGGATGTTTTAAATGATTTTCCGTGTATCATATCTGTTATTAGATGTGTAAGGTTTGTAGGGAATTCCAATTTCGTCATTTTGTATGTGAGTCCATCAAGCCACACTGAGTCGAATGCTTTTTCAAGGTCAATAAGGACAGCTCCTACCATTTTTCCATTAAGGAGGTAGTTGTTTATATCTGATGATAATTTATGTATAGCGTGTGTGGTTGAGTGTCCTTTTCTGAAACCAAATTGATTGTCTGGTATTAATTTGTGTTTGTCGATGTAGTGTAGTAGATCTTGTTTTATTAATTTTTCAAAGATCTTGCTGAGATTGTTGGTTAGACTTATTGGTCTGTAGCTTGTGAGATCTGTGGGATCTTTGTCTTTTTTCCTTATAGGGATAACTTTTGCTGATTTCCACTTAATTGGATAGTATGTGTGGTTGATGGAGTTATTAATTATTGTAGATAGGTCGTTAATTAGTTTTGGTGTTAAGTGTTTAAGAACTATCAAGGGTATAGTGTCGAATCCACTTGATGTTTTGTTTTTACAATATTTTAAGATTGATGCTATTTCGTTGGCCGAGTGGAAGGGGCTGCGGTCCGT